AAAAAAAAAAAAAAAAAAAAAAAATTTAGCTCTTTGATATTGAAAACGGACTACAGTGTAGGATTTTAGTTTCAGCTACCTTTTTACAAAAATAAAATAAAATAAAATACGTGCAATGAAAGAGCCCCAGATATTATCCACTGCGCATGTCGATCTGAAAGGATCATAGTACAGTACTGTACCTGGAATCTTGTTAACCAAGATTCGAGCCTTTTCAGCCCTCTTCAAATTCAAGTGCGCACCTCTGCTAGCATTGTACCTGTTCTCATCCTGTTTAACCAACGAACAATTAAGGCACAATAATGCTAAAATGTGCACGGGTCACTCCATTCCATTTTTGTAATAAAAACCCAATCAATTTTTAAACCACCAAGGCATCTTATTCAAGGGGCAGAGAGCAAATTATTTCCTATTAGGAAAAAAATGGGGATTCAAGATTTGGAGATTATTAGCACACGTTTGAAGTGGTACAAGATGTTTTAATTCTTATATCAAAAGTCAAAAATCAAACAAATAATAGGCATGCAGAAATCAAGGACTATAGCTTCGGGTGTACCCAGATATTTAATATGCCAATAGATATAAATAGTAGGAAGTGAAACAAGAGATAGGGTGTTCCATCTTTCTCTAACAAATACAGGACAGTATGCAATGCATCAAACTATTATCAATTCCCTTATTTTTAATGTCAAGTGGCTAAATTAATTGCATCAAGCTATTCAAATATGATGAAAGTCGGAAAAATGAAAGTGCTATGTTATGCACATCTCAGCCAATCATACGACCTGAAGGCATTGGCAGCAAACATATCAAGAGAGTTCATAAAAAATTTAAAATTATTTTGTGAAGACTAGTGCAGAAAATTTCTGATAATACAAGCTACAATGTGTAGTGCTGAAACTACTGTCTTGGGGTTTGTCACAAAAGGATGAAGTGAAGCCCTTTATGGTCGTGATGATGTTTGGGTGGGGTGGGTTTGGGTAGGATGCAGCAAAAAAAAACACAATTACCCTATTGTAGTCTTCAAGCCAACTTTCTTCTTCACAAGCTGACATCCACTTCTCGACCTTATCCAATATATCTTTTCTGCTCAAAGCCTCTTCTTTTGCTTTCACTATCTGATTATCCATGTCAGTCAATAAATCTGCAGGCTCTAAATTCCCAGAATCAATGAGTTCCAAAATTTTAGCTCGAGCAGCCTCTGTATCAATCTCAACGTGAGCATGGGCAAATATCTCCTCGAGCTCAGCCTGCTTCTTGAAAGCAATTTCCTTCATTCTGCTAGCTTTTAGTTGATCAAGCCTCTCAACTTCTACTTCGGTCTGCGCAAGATAAAAATGGCTGAATCAGTAAATGATAGATATCATATGCTCAAATTTAGCCCCTTAGGTTTAGCTAAAAAATTGATAGAAATCTATGTCAAAGTCAAAAAATTAATTCTACTCGTACATTTTATGGGACCAACTTCTTTTATTAACTTTTCAAAGACAAATTTCATAACTTTTATCAGAATCTACTAAAAATCTGATTTTTAGCAAAACCAAAATGGTGCTTAATTTTAATACAGGTACCTGCTCAATGATTTCCAGAGTGAGAGCCCCAGGAACGGTAACTTCATCCACTGAAGCTGAAATGTTACAAGTAACATGATCAAACAAGCTTCGTTCTTCTTCAGAGGTGTCCATCAAATTCCAGAGATCAACGAGCTGAGTTGCTAATTCTTGAAGCTATAAAGATATATGAAAGTCAAAGGACAGTTAATTGTGCAGAGGAAGATGATGTCATAACAAAAGTTCTTAGATTCGTGGAGATGACCATGAATACACATCCAATTGTGACGGAGCGTGTGAGCCTTAGTCACTGCTTTGCCAAGAAATAATTATGATACTAGTAGGATGAAAAGAACTTAAGTTAATATACAGTTATTCTGTCGATTTAAAAATTCGTAGCTGAAAGATAGCAGATCTTGTGATTTATATGGTGCAAGAACTTTAATAGCGTAGGAGAATGTGCTTATAAAATGAAATAATGACAGCATAATTTTTATTAATGTAATAATATCTGCAGGAAAAATTAGTTCTCACGTGAAAATAAGATTGATACTTGTATAGTTACCTTCTCTAACCTCTGCTTCTTATCTTCTTTTAGTGATAAGACAGTCTCTGACAATCTAGCTAGTGTGTCATTGCTTATGCTTTTAGACTGTACACCTGCAGAGTCATTCAAACTTGGATGAACTTGAGTGACAGTACTGAAGAAGTCCAAGCCAAGGACGGCACAAAGATCATGCACAGTGCTCACAAACTCAAGGATCATATGCAATCTCTCACTCTGCAAAATTATATAGAATGAACCATAATGATCTTGTTAATTACAGATCAGCCTCACGATCACTAGCACTGATTTCTAGTAAGATTAAATACCTCACCTTTTCTTTTTGCAGTTCTTGGAGCTGAGCATGAAATTCATCTAATTTTTTCAGGGACAGGTCACACTCATCAACTGCAGGACTCTCCTCCTGCCCACTAATCCCAGCAATTTCTGAACATATCTTTTGTATTTGAGACTGGACATCAGAAAACTCCTTCATCCGTTCATCTTTCTGTTTCCATAGTTTTTCTAATGCAGGTGCTATAGCTGCAAGCTGCTCCTTGATAGATCCTGAAGTCTTCTCAGGCTGCAAAAGATCAGGACGCCATAAGATACAATTAACAATCTACAGAAGCAAACTTGAGCAAGTTTTATTTTGCTTCATTCACAGTGCTTGCCATAATAGCTCTTCCAAATTTAATAACTTGTCCCCATGTGCATGAAGGACAATTACTCACTATTCCAACATAACTCTTCTCTCCAAGTGCTGACAGGAGATTGGTGAGTTCAACTCTAGCATCTGCCAGTGTCTGAAGAAGGAGAGCCCTTGATTTCACGGCGTGATCAACCTTTCTCTTGTACACATCCAAGCACTCCTGCTCCAACTGAAGGAGCATTTTGTCTCGGTCATCATCACTCTCACCAACTTCATCCCAAATTTGCTGCAATGTGAGAATTTGTTTTTGTCAGCTTAATAGAAAATTCAACTTCTGGTCCGTACTGGTAACACAATACAAACAGTGAGAAGACCGTAAATCCAAAAAATTCAATAACGGATTGCCTGCAACTGCTGTAGTAAAGAACCACAAGTAATTTGTCCAGTGAGAGGTTTTTCAGCATCCACTGCTGCCATCAGCTCCAGCTCCAAGCAAACCTGAGAGAACATCCATATGGAAACTCACTCTTTTATATGACCGAGATATATCTATAAACGAAATAATGCAGAGAAACATTACTAAGATAACCAAACCGAAAAATTCATAGCCCAGTGCATAAAAAAACTGGCAACACTCGAAAGGAAGAAACCCATGTTACTATGAACCCAGGGATAAGGATACTCTCCAAGTCATTGACAAGAAGAAGAAAAACAACTTGAAATGAAGGTCATCCCCAGGGTCAAACTCATCTACACGTAGAGAAAAAGGAAATGAAACTTGCCAAGTTGCAATCGACGAACTTTTCATCAATAGCACGAAGTATAAATCCATAAATATCTTACAAACAGATAAAGACTTCAAAGAACATCCTTATCTTCAATTAAACTGGCTAACTTAAACTAAAAGGAGAAAAAAAGGGTCTTTAACAAAAGCATTGGAGCAACTTCACTATACCCAATCAAGGACACAAAAAGATAACAAGCATGTCAAATATGTTTGAGTACTAAAATATAATATTTCAACCAAACGAAAAGAACTCGTGTAAACCAAAACCTTCAATTTCACACAAATGTACATAATCCAGAACCATCATACACTAAATTTATTTCAACAAAACTGTAAAACTTACTTTGACAAACTCAGATCTCAATCCAAAACATTTCAATGTAATCAGACAAATTGCCAGCAAACAACCCTAAAAGAATGGTTTAATATTCGAAACTTTCTACAAAATCAAACGAGTAAAGAGAATGCGTACCGAGTCGGGTTTTGGGAAGATTCGTAGACACAGATCTAAAATTGCTTGAGAGTGTGTGTCGGAAGGACAATGTGACTGTGTGAGAGTGAAAGAGCAGAAGGAAAAGACAGAGATAAACTAAGATCTATTCAATGTGTGAGAGGAAATATTGTGTGGGTCCCCAAGAAACGTCGTCGTCTCCAGGCCAATTTATTAATTAATTATTATGTACTATAAAGTGATGATCTCTGGTTAACATTCTCGCCCGTGTTTGTGGGACTATTTACAGAAGATGACATTCAAAAAATCTGTAGAATGACTTATTTGCCCTTTTAGTTTGACTCTACATGTTTATGTTTGACTGAATTGGACTTCACGTAGGTGAAAAATGAACGTGATTTGACGTTGGGTTTACGATTTGATCAAAATGACATTCACGGGATCCGGCAAAATGCTTTGGTCAGAAAAGTCGGACTCGTGAAAGTCTCTAAAGTCAAGGAGTATAATTGAGAGACAGTACATGGAATCGTCCTGGTTTGGTTTTATTAGTTCTTGCTAATCTGACTTATGAGTTGAACTTACAAATTTTGATTCACAGAGTCTTCGTTTCAATATAAAATAGAAGTCCATTAGTTATATAAATACTCATGCCTAGACTTGAGGAATTATTATTACACCTTGTAACTCGAAGCTTCTAGTGGAAGTCACGAGGAGACATTTGACAACCAAGAAAGACCCAATTGGTCAACATAAATAAGTTAATGGCTGAAGCAGTATCTCATTGTTCCAAAAATCCTTTTTGTTGAAGCTCTCCCAATCGAACCTCCCCCGTCTGAAACCCTCTTTTAAGTTGAAACACCTTGTCACAGACCTAGTTTCGTTACACCCGAATAATTAGAACCTTGTGACCTTAATGTTCGACAATTCTCGTCCCTCATGAGAAAACGTTAAATCAGTCTTTCCACGCTCACAAATAATTTAACCAATAAGACTAAATTATAACCACTTTGAGAAGAGAATTTTGGAGTAAGGAATATATGAAAAATAAGTAAGATTGGGGAAACTTTTTTTATATAAATGAAAGGGAAAACTTTACAATCACTTCACTCTACATAATTTACAAATGAGACTTTCAACTCTATTTATAGGCAAAAATCTTGCAAGTTGCTTTCAAATCAATGACCATGATTTATTTGATCCAAGGGCCCTCATTTGATGCAAGTTGATTTAAACCTCCTTTGACAAGTTGCATTCCACTTTACAACTCATATTTAGTTGTCATCAAATGGACATTCTCTATCATTTTCCTTGCAAGTGGATACAACTCGTGCTTAACTTGCATCTTGATATTATTCTTGCAAACTCGATCTTAACTTGCATCTTGACAATATCTTGCAAGTGGGCTAAGTGGCACAAGTGGACAAGTTGTGCAAGTTGCCCACTTGCATCCCCAAAATATCCGATTGCAGGTTCATGTATTTTTCCTTCCAAAATGACTGGTTCGGGACTTAGAAAAACTTTATTAATGCGTTGGGAAATTGCCTTGTTTCAGGCAGCCTGTGTTCTGCCCAACAAGTTGCCGACGTCCTCAGCCTGAATCTGCCTACGTCCCCTACCGCAAGTTGTTCCGTCCTGCTGAAATGCGTTACTCGCTCTGTTTTGCGACCGCTACCAGGATAGATCGGTTGCGACCTGTGGGGCGTAAGTACCTACTGTCTTTCAAGGGATATACAGAGTATCTCTAGAAATTATTGATGTAACATTTATACTAGCCCCCATTTGAGCCACATTATTATAAAAATGAGAATTAAAAATATAACAGTTATGGACTCCACACAAAATATAAAAAGTTAAATATAATGGCTTGATGTGATGGATAACGATCATGTCTTTCATTTTAATGAGAAAATAATGCGGCTCAAACAGGGCCTTAATAAATGTCAGAATTGTCAACTTAGGGTGTATCACGACTAATCCGTTGTTAATGTATTAACTTTATGGCAGAGAATGATGTAGGGTTTCGATTAATGATACGAGGCCATATGATTAACATTATGCAGTTCTTTGATTAATATGGTTTATCAAATATATATATATATATATATATATACACACACACTTGAGTAAGCCCAATTTTAAAAATCTACCTAAAAGTAAATCGTAGGTGACGTGATTATTTTTACTTTATGGTAATGTATGCGTACATAACCACATAGAAAAAAAGAAGTATAATGTCTTAATCTTTTCATCAAAATTCTTAACATACACTAAAAACACAATTAATTTAATGTTAATTAGTTATTTAGATTTCATTTAATTACATAAGTTAACGCCTCATGAAAATTACAATAATTTATGTTCATAAATATTCAAGAACCCACACGTTTCATGAGATTATATTAGAAATTGATAAAATTTAAGTTAAAATCAACAATTAATTTTAATTACACATTTAATGGAACTAATCATAAATTAAAAAATCGGGTAAAATAAATTTTAATACTAGTTATGATTTTGCAACTAAAAATTAATATTTTTGAATATTTTTAAGTTGGGGTCATCTTACAACTTAAAAAATTGTCAAAAGAATACATGCAAAATATAAAAATCGGATTCTCTTCCTTGTTTTATGCTTCTACATATACCACACTTATATTCTATTTGAGCCCCATTTTTGCATTAAGAATGCATTTTTGAATGGTAGAATGATGAAAAATGTGCAGTTGAAAAATGAAGAAAAATTGAGTTTATATATAATATTATTTTATTATAAAAATGTATGATTGAAAAGATAAGATAGAAAAATATATTTTTAAAAAAAATGAGGAATGATGATCCAAGATCTAGTCGATCTCGAACTCAACCTTATAACCCCGATCTCAACGCCTCCTAAAAACACCAAGACAAGGTCGGGCATTTGAGGTCGGGGGTATATATATTGACTCGGTAGCTTTTCTATAAGACCTATAGGGACACTAATCCCTCTCTGGTCACAATCCCTACCCTGTTAGACTCTTTCTTTGACTCAAACAGTGACTTTGAATACTTGAGGTGAAACACTAACTCCTTTTCCTACAAGGATAAGGATCGTGACAAAATAAATCCTCCTAGGACTCAATCGCTGACATATATAAATACACAACTTGTGCTCATTCTTGAGGTACGTTCTTCATTATTATCTTCAGTTTATAGCCTCACGCATTAAATTCCCTATCTGACTTAAGTATCGGAGGGGCGACGAGCACACACCTCGTTGCCTTTGTTGCAGGTATTCAAAGACCATTCGTGTTCATCAAAGTGAAGTTGGCGCATCAAGCTCGAGATCTTTCAGGTGATATTTTTTGGTAGCATCATTGGCATCGTCTGTGTGAATTTCGCTACCAAAAGCCATGGTCAATACACGTTCAGGTCTTCCTCCAGCAAGCTCATCTGTCCCGGATAACCCTCCACCTCCTGAGGAACACCATATCCCTCAAGAAGAGTCGTCGGAGATGCCAGCACCTCCTTAAGCTGTTGTTTCCGCTGGAGCTTTTGAGGAACTTCGCCAGCAGGTGGTTGCATTGACCTAACTGCTAAGTCAGAGAAATTCGCATCCATCACATATCCCAACACCTGAAGGTGGCTATATGGCAGATGCCCAGACTCGAGTTCATCATGCAGCCCATGATGACGGTGGGGTTGGAACCTCAGGGGTACCACAAGTTGCATCACGTTCAAGGTCCGTTACAATGGACTCCGCCGAACTTGCTAGAATTATTCAAGAAGGGATAGCAGCAGGTATGCAACAAAATACTCGGGCAGCAATAGGGTTCACCTCCAATACACCATTCACTCCAGAAGTCCTCTCGTACCCCCTTCCCGATAGGTTCAAGTATCCTCGGACCCATCAATCATCTCAATGTATACACGGATATCATGAACTTACAGGTTGCACCTGATGCGGTAATGTGCAAGGCATTCCCCCAAACCCTCACAAATGCGGCTAGAGATTGGTTTTCCACATTGGAACCGAACTCCATCACCTCCTTCTCAGATTTGGCTGATAAGTTCTCCGCTTTCTTTGCGAGCAGCAAACGAATTAGAAAGACAGCAATGAAACACTGCGCAGTTTCATAACCAGGTTCAATAAAGAAAGGCTTCAGATCCCCGATCTACATATCACAGCTGCAGTCTCAGCTCTGACTTACGCCATTAAGTGCGAAGCATTCAAAATGTCATTGTCTAAAACCCCGCCGAAGTCAGTAATCGAGCTGTTCACACGAGCTGAGAAATACATCAATATGGAAGAAACCATGGCCCCCGAAAAGGGAAGTTACCTCATCAGGGAGGTTGGATCAGAAAAGGCCATATGAGTCCAGCTTAAGACAAGAGACACCTAGGGTCAAACCAAGAAAGGATCCACCTTCAACGGCTTTTACCCATCTGAACACTTCGAGGTCCAACATCCTGATGGAAATCAAAGACTCTAGGGAACTGAAATGGCCTCCCCGATTACGGTCTCCCCCCGATACTCGTGACAAGAGTAAGTACTATGATTTCCATAGAGATCACGACCATACAACAGAAGACTGTCTGGCCTTAAAGTAGGAAATCGAAGCTCTTATAAGAAGGGGATTTCTGAGCTCTTACATTAACAATGACAAACGCCCGAGAAATAACCAGAACGGGGGCAAAGGCCCAGAGGATCGGGGAAATAAGCAACCAACTGCAGGCACTATCAATATCATTGTCGGAGGAACAGCCTCGGGAGGAGACTTTAGCAGTGGGCGAAAACAGTATGCCAAGCAGCCTCCAATCATCTCAAGACCAGATCTTGATTGTACAGAGGACATCCGTTTTGGAATGGATAACTTGGAAGGCATAGCATTCCCCCATGATGATGCCCTTGTCATATCGGCCATCATCGCCAACTTTGAAGTCAAGAGAATTCTGGTAGATAAACGGAAGTGCAGCAAACGTGTTGTCTCACGAAGCTTTTGTTCAAATGGGGATCTCGTCAGAACAACTAAAGCCAGTGAAAACACCCCTCCAAGGGTTTGGAGGTGGGGTCATCACCCCGGAAGGTATCGTCGGGTTACCCTTAACATTGGGAGCCAAAGGTAAACAGGTGACGTAAATCACTACCTTTGAAGTCGTCCATACGCCAATGGCTTACAA